GCAGTATTCGTATACGTAAAACTAAAACAAATTCAAGACACCAGTTTTTGGTAATTCATTTGAAGGGTTACCTCATAAAAGTAATTGCAATAGTGAAGTGGGCGAATGAACTCCCCGCAATATAAACCACAATCAGTGTTTATAACTTCATAAAACACAAGGACGCGGATTGATTGAGGGATGCTGATAGAAGGTGAATTCATTCATAGTGAGTTTCACAAGGGGATGTTCGTGCTCGTCATGGTATGACGAAGAAAACGAGGGTGACAGTGGGTGACTGGGTGCTCGAGCGCATACAGTACGTGGAAAGGGGGCACCAGATCACTGCCTTGAGCGACGTTACACTTCAGTAATTGAAAATCAATTGCTTCAGTTTTATAGCGGTACCTGAGCTTTAATCGAGGTTAAGCCCTTTAAATTTCAAAAGTACGAATAAATGCTTAAAGGAAAGAAAGACATTGCGGTACACCTACATCGAATTGAGAGATCTTTGCTTTTGTTTTACGCAACTTGCCGTAAAGGTATTCGCGAAGCCCCTTTAAGTGTATTAAATCGACAAGTGGCGGAGATTAGCTTTCCAGTCAGCAGGAGCGGGTGATTAATAGTCAGTAACCCAAGAGCAAGTGTATATAAACTGTAGTTAATTAATAACACATCACTTTCCAACTGATATCTGTATATTGCGATGTTTAAACATGAATTATTCATAAACGTGGCTCCGCAAATTTAAATCTCAAGATGCATGGGCCAGATATGCGGTAAAACGACACTGTGAAAATTATTGTTCGGTTTTCTTATATCTTTTATGTTGGATATAGTGCAAAGTTCTATTTTGAACAAGACATTTTCGTCAGATGGCATACAACGAGAGTAATATAAATTTTATGGATAACAAAATATTCTTCTATCAGCTTGTTCAGTAGATGTGAAAATAAAGTGAGATTACAATAGCCTTTAAATTTGTTCTCATTCATTTTTCACTTCTGCAATCAAGATTCTTTTCTACTTTTATGGTACACTTTTGACTTTATCTTTTATCTGGAAACAGTTCAGATGCATTAATTACTGTAACTATACTGTACTAATAGCTACACTACTATTGCTCGTGTCGTGTTAAAGAGTGTTTTCATGCAGTCACCTAAAAATTAAATTTGATCGACAAAAAAAAACAATTTTCAGTAATTGTTTAATAAAATAAGTCAGTTTTGGACTTTCAAGTGTCTACATGTAATTTTACATATACTTATGTGTGGGAAATTTGGCAATACACGTAGAGAGAGCATATACCGTCTATCTTTTGTATCTATATTGAATCTATTGTATTAAATATTAGTCCAAGTATTAGACGTACTGTATAGTTTTTAATCGTAATGAAGTACATATAGGAGGGTCAGAAAACTTGGGTAGACGTCACCGTATTCTGGACTGGTTTTATTAGACGCCAATATCCGACACCTATTTTATGTTGTATATATTTCTGCTTCTGTGATCCATCATTTATGTGTCTAAATATATGTTTTTACAGGGTTTAATTCGAAATTTAAAAAGTGGCCTAGTGGCCTACATTACTGTCATATTACCTATGCTGGTGCATCTTAAAAACTGGAATGTTGATTTCATACAGTTTTTTTTTTATAAGTAAACTAATATTGCTGAAACTGGATTATCATTGATCATCAAAGGAGGGGAATGAGATTGGCAACTATTCACCAAGAAAGACCAAATCTTTTATTTTTCAGGCTGTAGACAGTAAGAAGGGAATTAGCACAGTTAATGGAAGAAAAAGAGTACAAGAAGCAGCCGTCAGAAGGGATGACATAGCATAGCTGCACAAAGGCAAAAAGGTGTGGCTTCTGAGGTTGTGTTTGTGAATCACGTAACAAGCAATAGTGTATAAAACGTATACTAAACAAACACTTGAAAAAATAACAGCAGAAAAGGCTAATAGTATACTCCGTTCAATAGTAATAATAATAGTAATAGTGAAGTATAAGAAAGTATAATAGTACATATTTCACTATTATCAGTACTGTTTCTTGATCTTGTCTTGATCTTTTCTTGATGTTGTGTTGGTCTTGTGTTGATCCTATCTTGATCTTGTCTGAATCCTACCTTCATACTGTCTTGATCTCGCCTTGAGGTCGTCTTGATCTCGTGTTGATCTCGTCTTAATCTTGTCTTGAATGGTGTCAGCCATTTTGGAAAATGTCGTCTAAAAAACAGAAAATACGGTGGTGTCTACCCAAATCTTCCTTACTCTCCTATATGTACTTCATTCGATTCTGTGGGTTAGAAAAATCAGTAGTAAAATTTTTACTGGGCTCCACAGTACAGGGACAGGGTATTTTCGCCGTTACTTTATGTCAACTATCCCTTGAAGTGGTGTGGAATTTGTTCGCTCGTTCTGTTAAATGTGTGAAATTTCACATAATACTGTGTCCAAAAAGTACCCGGAATCTTTCTATTTCAATTACTCAGGTAAATACTTCCACAGAAATATTTTTTCTTATGTTCGCAGCACTGTTACAGACACCCCTGTCAAATTTCAAGTCATAAATGTCATTAATGTCAAAAGTTAATTTTTCGATTTTTACATCTGAAATTATTCAATTATTCAACAGAGATTTTATGAATGGAATAACCACTGCATAAACGTTGAGAATGTTACAGAAAGCTTACGAGGATTATCAAAAACAACATTGGATTGGTATACAAAGTGTTCGATGAAGGCAGCCAAAGCGTTGAGGACGAACAGCATCTCGGGCGACCATCTCATCTCCTCATCAACTGATGACCAACACATAAATAAAATCAAGGAAATGGTACTTTCAAACCGTCGATTAATAATAATTGCTGATGATATTGGCATATCAAAAGGAGCACTAAATTAAATGTTGAAGGATATTTTGGGCCTCAGACGCGTCAAATCTCGATTGGTACCGAAAACACTGCTTTTTTTAAAAAAAAAGCGGCGAGTTTTTCGTTAAAATGTGACAAATACCGTTCCACAACCACCGTATTCGCCTGATTTAGCTCCATGCGACTTCTGGCTATTTGCTAAGCTCAAAATACCGTCGTTTTGAATCAATTGAGGAGATAAAACACGAATCGAAGAAGGCCATTTCGGAAAATGACTATTGCGGTGCTTTGAGGACTGAAAAAAACGCTGGCGTAAGTGCATTGCATCGGAGGGGAATTACTTCAAAGGCAATGAAATATATTTAGAAGAATAAATAAAGGTTTTTCATTTTTATAACGCAATTCCTGGTGTTTTTTGGACACAGTGGTATATCGTATTGGTGACCATTGATCTCAAACAACGGACTCATACATCTTATCGCCCCGCGCCTGGTTTGGTAACTCTGCCGTCCTATAGGCCGTCTCTAGGGAAAAGCCCTAAAATTCACACGCGCCCTGTTTCGCTTTACGCACGATTCATACCCGTCACGTCGAAAAATATTCGAGGACTGCTACCGATTCCAGAAGTATGTAGTTTTCCTAAGCAGGACTCGGATCGACTCGACCGGACTCGACGCCAACCGATCGATTTGCTATGCAAACATTTAAATAGGCCTTCGCGCACTGCGTCGGTTCGGTTACGATATCATCAACCGGTTAGGATCGACTACAACGCGGAACCGTGACGATGATATCGTAACCGAACCGAAGTAGTGCGCGGATGCCTATTTAAATGTTTGCATAGCAAATCGATCGGTGGGATCAAGTTGATTCAATTCGCGTCCTGCTATCTACGTGTCCATACTTGCTGACGCTATAGCCGCGGCGGTAACTCCTGTTACTCTTACTGTTTGCCGTCTTTGAAGCGCTTTATCTGGGAAAACGTAGGCGGGGGGGGGGGGGGGCACCCATCTTTTCTGCAAATTTTAAAAAGTCGGGCTTCAGGTAAAAAAGTAGAGTCGTTGTAGAAATATTTCTAGAACCATTAGAATTCTTAGAACCTATTCTCAATATTTTTCTAAAATCTTTTTGAAGTCCGGAATATGCAAAATCTTCGCATCTTAGGAACTTTCTGGATTCCTATAAGAATATTTCACGAACTGTCTGAGAATTTTTTTTGGACAAGTATAAAACTTTTATCAAACTTACACTGTTTATTAGATTCTTCTGACGATCTTCTTAGAATCCCGTTCGAGTCTCTACAACCTTCGGTGATGTTCATAGGATCGTCTTAAGACCTTAGGATCATCCTCGAATCTTCTTGGAATTTTTTTAGAATCTTCTGCGAATTTGCTAGTCGTTCAAGAAATAAGCTTGATCTAACGACAGGTCAAAGTTAAATTATAGTCTATCTTCTAACGGCCGGTATTTTACTATGTTGTCAGGGTTGTTACGGCACGCGATTGGATGTTTTCTCAAAGAATAGGTAACGTTATTCTTTTGAAAAACATCCAATCACATGCCCTAAGAACATTGTTAGCCTGACAACATAGTTAAATGTGCTTTACACTACCGCCCGATAGTCTGTTCTAACAAACAAATCTTTAGATTAACATGCCAAATTTGGACGAATTTAATAATGAAAGGAGACGATTACTAAATGACGGAAGTAATATACGTTTCTCCAGAAACTACGTAATATAAGTATGAATTCGTTGGTTTGATGGGATCCAAAGTTCTTTTCTTCCGTGTAGTGATAAGAACTTATAAACCAAAATGATCTAACGAGAAAAACCAACACTGAACCGCAAGGAAGAAACATTCGGTAGTTTCGATGGGAAAATCCACCAATATTCCAATATCCGGTATATGGATTTCTAGTTTTGCCAAAGGAATATTCTTCACCATGTTCGCTAGTTCTGGTTAGGGTTCACGCGATAATTAGTGACAAGCACATTTTATTGAAAACCCCCTTTCCCTATTTCTTAAATGCGGTATTATCTCCGTATTTATGTAAGCTGAAAAGTGAAAATATTTATTTATTTAATTAACGTCAAATTTATAGGCACAATAAAATTTGTTTAAAAAAAACGGATAGTACGTAACTTTACTAAACAGTATTTATTATAAATACTTATAAAAACAATAATTAAATCATAATTCGCCCGAATTTTCATGTTTTACTAAATTGGGAAATTGAATTTTCATCGGATTATTGTTCATTTCAGATCCTTTGGGGCAGTGAAAGATCTCTGCGAATTTTTCAGAGTTCGTCACGATGTTTTCCACCTTAAGCGAAGGTGGTAAGCTTTCTGTTTCTAACAGTGCCAACATGTAGTCGACTAGATTCGTAATTCGGCAGTAATCTAAAATATACGTTAATATCGATTAGTCTACAGTTGAAGTACCTTGAGCAATTGATATGTAAAAAATCTGTTCCCTCGACAACGTCGTGGAAATCCACGGAAGTATATTCTCAGCCCTTAAACTATCCAAGCCGTGTTCGATTAATCTCATACCCGTATTGTCTGCGATGCGTTCGTTTGCGGATAGATTTGGGTAAACCTGCATCGTAACAAAATATTAAGTGAATTCCCTTTGTATGTGGCCGCATACCGTGAACGAAACCTTCTGATTTTTGACAGTTTTTTGATTTGCCTTTAAAAGTAAGTCTTGCTTCATATGATCGACCATTGCGTCGTAGGTCGCCTTTGCAGCCGGGGTTAATTTCATGTCGTTTTGTATTCCTACGGGATCGAAATAATGGCCTATTTCCCTTGCTAAGGATAATCCGATGCGTGACATCGTTATGTACCCAGGAGTTCCTGACAGAGGACCACTCATCATTCCGATCGGAGCCACTGAAATTTAAATACTAAGTATAAGGCACATTTTTTCCGGAGTTGCTTACTAATTAGTCGCTCTGTATAGAATGACGTGGGTCGTGAATCAAATACACTAATGAAGTAATTCCACCTAAAGGTATCGAAGGTAAAGAAGAAAGAAGTAATATTTTAGCACTTACAAGTAATCTATGGTAAATAATTTTCCAGTAAGTTTGTATAAAGATTTACGGTCAAACTCCAGCATCTTCACAACGTTTTTCATGAAAGTATCTTTACGCAGCTCGACATCTTTGTACTTTTCGTTGAGGTATTGTACGTCGTTGTAGCTATCGGTTGCTTTACCAAAAGTTAGAACCATTTTTTTGGCTTTTATTAACATCGATTTTTTTGTGTCATCGTCCAGCCAAGAAGCAGCTTTAAATTCTAACGCTAGGTTTTTCTTAATTGTTTCGAAGATGTCCGACAAGAATTTGTCAATTTCTTGCAGCTGGGTTGGGGACCATGTTTTTATGTAGAGATGTGAGGTAATGTCTCTGAATAGTTTCGTGCTCAGTTGCAAACAGTAAAACTCTCTGTTGTCTTTTGCTCTCGGTATTACCAATGTCTCGTATAAGTGATTTGCATAAAATGCAATTAATGCGTTGTTGATTTTCCTGAAACAAGAGGGTGAATATTCTACCATCTACTAACATTTTACAATTATTGTAACAGTTTATGCTGAATGAAGGGACTAATAGCAAAATCATAAGCAAAATCATATAGATATATCTCAATATCTAACAATCGTATCACCTCAATATGGAGGATGCAACTTCTAACTAGTAATCAAGGTGCGTAGGAAAACTTCTTCTTCTTTCTTACGTATAATTATAATTATGTAGGTATCAATTTTTATCCCACAGAAATGTATGGATAGCATTTAAGAAGTTTTGCTCAGTTTTCAGATATGCGGTGGCACAAACCGTACTGGAATGCCATAAATGCCATACAAGTGAAGAGTGCCACTTTAAGTTCATAATACATTATGAATTATTTTTAAAAAGTATGATTATCATATAACATTTAATTAATGAACAGAAAAACTAAACTGGGTTCGCCTTCCTTCTGTAAAGTTAACCGATTTTGAAGATTATGAACATGCAGGTGGTATTGAGTCGCTTCCACGGATAAGTGACAGTACTCAGAACCGATTGTCCATGGAAACTTGAACTGGTACTGGGGGTTGAAGTGGTCTGCGGTTGACAGAACCAAAGTTTAGGGCTCATTGAAATGGACCGAGGTTTAGAGGACAAAAATTTAAGGCTCAATTCTGGCCTTACTGACAGTTGCAGTAGACTTTTTATAACTAGCCTAAACTATCACAAGGTGCTCACATATTCGAGCAGACTTAATTCAAATTACAAATAATTGACGTTAGCCGGCCGCATAATTTCGCAAGGGCTACATTTTAATTAATAATAAAAGCGCAACGCACAATTGCGGCAACGTTCACTTTAATTAATTAAGTCATATCCCTAACCACGTCTATATATATATATATATAAGCATTTATTTCGAGCCACTTAGACTACACGCAAGTTTTGTGAATTATAAAAAAAAAGCTACGTACCAATTATTATGAATTCAGTTCATTTAATCAATGCTAAATAAAAAGATATTACCTTGCAATAATCCTACGGTGAATTTCAACTTAGTATAATTAACTAATTTCTGCGCTTTTTTTGTTAGTATTGTTTTACTCAACGATGGAATCTCATTAACTGTCCCATCCGCCTCTTTGTAACCAATATATCAATTGATTTCAAACCATATTAAGCCATTAGACACGTTTGAAATGTAAATTTTTTCTCTGTTAATGTTTTTGTTGTATGACTGAATTATGTGTAGTCATGACCTACAATCATAATAATTTATGGGGATAGAAACCTATAACACCGATACTGTTTTTTTTAAAAACTGGTTTAATTAAAAAGGGGAAGTGACCGCAACGCATATTACTAGTATCGAATTTTCATCCGATTTTAAAATCTTGTTAAAGTTAAGTATTTTTTTTTTATTATAATGTATTATATTTATGAATTTAACAAAAGGTTACCACAATAACATATTGCAAATAAAATTGTTTAAAAACATGTTAAAAAATAAAAAATTGGTGTGTGACGGTAGAGTGCCTGGAATACAAGCCGCATTTTCCTGCTGAACAGCTAAACTGAATCTTTGTTTTAAAAATTCAAAACAACGTTTTTCTTGAGTTTTTTCAAAAATTTTTGTACTAATTTCTGAAGCAATTTTTTTGCAGATGACCCCAAGCGTCAAGTGTTTCAATACAGAAAGGGTAGAAAATAAAACGGTGTAGTAGATTACCATATTTTACCATCTTTTTTTTCTGTGATTTTTTATTTATTAAATTGACTCATGTCAATAGTTTGACTTTTTTTCTAGGAATGAAATGAATAGTGTTTTCGTAAACTAGTGAGGGGGAGGATAAGAGTGATAACGATATATAACAGAGAAAGAATGAAGAGATAAATTAGAAAATATGATAGACGAGGAGAGGCTAGTAGTGGCGGGAGATTTAAACGCCAGAACAAGGAATAAAGGAAATTGGGTGGAAATAGGAAGAGGAAGATAGAAAGTCAAGAGATAAAGAATGCAACAAAGAGGGGAGTTGAAACTGGAATCAACAGAAAAGAGAGGTTGGAGAACATTAATCGCAAGAATGGAGAGGATGGGAAATACACTTACATAGGAGGGAGAGGGAGGTTGGTAATCGATTACATACTAGTAAACGTAAACATTTTGGAAGAAATTGAAGATATTATGGTAGGAAGAAGGACAGAATACGGTTACCAACCGATGGAAATAAGACTAACAGGGAAGAAAAGAGCAAGAAATGGAAAGATGCAATAGATGAAGGGAGATACAATTGTGGACAAGAGACACGGTGGAGGATTATAGAAGGAAATTAGAGGAGCAAGTATATGAAATAGGAGAGGGCATAGAGGAGAAGTGTAAGAGGTTCCACCCTGTATATACAACTTACGACGAGACATACATTTTTGAGAGTTGGCAACCATGCAATTTCTAGGTGGGGAAAAGTTGCCTGCGCCACCTAAAAAGCACGAATGTGGGTTACGTTTGGCTGTTGTTGGCATCTTGTCTTGAATGGCGGTCAGTAATCTTTGCATTTCTTTATATCGTATTTGTGTTTTGTATGCCACATTGTATATTTCTTGTGTGTTTGAATCTTTGTTTTTGAAATTTACTTTGTTTAACCGCAATGCATAATCACATATGTGATACCGTTATGCTATTGTTTCTAATTGTTTACGTTTTTGGTGTAATGCTTGCTTAATTTATGTTTATTGATGGTGATTACCTGGTCTTGTCCCTGAAGTAACATTCATATAAGTTTTGATCGAGGTTTTGATCATTATATTTTAATATGTAGAAATTACCGATTCGTTTGATGTATGTACTGACTTGTTGTTTGTAACTAACCATTTTCTCCGTGAATGAAGCAGTCACGGGGGTGGTAAAAACTGTAGTCAAAATTGAGCTACGACACCTAATTCCGTGATTGTCTTCGACATTCAACTATAGGCTCGAAACCCCGAAACTAGGGGCGGGCTACCTATCGTGAAGGAGCTCTTCAGTTTAGAATCTATGTGCAATAAATGAGTGGCGATTCGTAATTTCCACATATCTTGTTTTAGTTAATTTTCCATCTTGCTTTTAACAAAAGGACTTTATTACACCAAAGATGAGTCACACATCCTGTGTATTTCACCCTTTCTTAGAATCATGGTACCTGCTTACCTGACCCATAATTCCCAAAACTTGTTTTTAACCTATATATGTTACCTCTTGAAGTTTACCTGCTACTTTTTGTGATGTTATAATTTTATGTTACGCATTCACATCATTACAAACAATTAATTTTACAACACAATTTAATATTAATTTGACGGCTGGTTTTTTTTATTGGTAAGTCTTTTTTTTTGGCAGCCTATTTCTATTTTGATTCGGTGAACTACCATTTTCAAAGTTTATTTTTGCAATGTAATTTATTTCCACTTAAATTTCCAAACTTTTACAATCATAATAATTACGTCATTATTAAACAAACTTTTCACAATTTGAGTGTTTAATTTTACGTTCCTTCCCTACTGTGCTTCAGGTCAAAACGTGGTCTACAACTAACGTAAGAGGTCCCTGCCTTACATGTTTTATCTTATCACGTGCCACTTTCCAAATTTAAGCGGGATTTTATTTAGTTTTGGAGGGAATGGTCATTCGGGTGGCCATTTTTAAACGTTGCCCGGTTTGATTTTATTTCCGTGTTCTTGTAGTGTGAAGTTAGCGTAGAACCTGGGGGTTAAGTACATACAAGTGGAAAAATATGAAGGAGAGTATTAAAAAGGCAATAAATAAGGTAAAGGAAGAGGAAGGGAGAGATAAAAGAAAGGAAGAGAGATACAGATATAGATCAATGATGGAGAGACAAAGAAAGAGAGAGATAATAAGGAAGTGAGAGAACAGGGAAAATGGTACAAAAGAATATGTAAGGAAAAAAGATGAAGACATAGAAATAATATAACGAAGAAATCATGGCTATAAACTTTTGGAAGATGATAAACAGAGAAAACGAGAAAAATACATTTAGTGAGTGAGAAATACAAATAGAGGACTGGAAACAGCACTTTATGAAAGTACTACAAGGGAAGCAGGAAAAAGGGTGTGGGATAGAGGATGACGGAAGAGAGGAGGTGAGATATCAAGTGAAGAGATGGAACAACAATTAAAGAGATTGAAGAAAAGGAAAGCAGCAGGTAGGGACGAAATAAGAAATGAGGCATGGATTATTAAGGAAAAACTGAGGAATCTAATAATAGATGAAAACGATATATTGTGTGTGTGTTTCATTATTTATTATCACTTCTCGTCGCTCATTTACTTTTAATCTCAGCCCGAGTCTTCAGGTTCTTATGAACCTTGGGATTCTTTCATTTCTTCTATCATCTGATTTGTTAGCTTCCATTTCTTTCAATTCTTAACTTATTTCAATTAATCTCCTTGGGTTCTTAGGGTGCTTCAGATTCTTTTGATTCTTCAAGCCCATGACATTCTTCAGATTCTGAAGTTCTTCCGGATTTTTGCTTTTCTTCGAATTCCTCCAGTGATTTAAGCCTTTAGACTCTTAAAGTTCAGGTTATTTACATTTCTCAGCAAGTCCTTGCATGTTTTCGATTTTTCGATTCTTTCGTCTCTTCGCGTGGTTCAGATCCTTTCGATTCTTCGTAGGTTTCAAGGAAACAATCGCGACAATCGGCTTGTTTCTGATACCAAAATCCTTCTAACCATTTTCCTGTTTTAATCTTCGGTCATTTATTATTTGAAAGAAACTAGCTTTCTGTACTAGCTACGAGATTGACTTTCGATAAATTCTTTTCTTTCTTCTTCGCGTGACGTAACAGAGTGTTCACGCGCTCTCTCCATGTGATAGAAGCAGACAGAAATATTAATTACAGGAATTTTAATTAAGGGTAGTCTTGCCTTAATTTTGTTAGGCAACCCATTTGAAATGTGTTTGTCTACATGTTAAGATTGCTAAAAAATGTATTTCACTTGGTAAACAGATAAGGCGAAGGTTGACCTTATGTAGGATCTTGTACGAAATGTCGGCGAAATCGAATTTCGAACTTTTCGTGACGGAAGTGTAACCAAAAAAAGACCTTTTATTCTTGCTCTTATATGAGTTTGAGTTTCGCTGCTGTCAGAGACCAACCCGGTGGCCCAGATCCATTTGATTGATCTATGTACCTACCCAACTTCTTACGTAAAAGTGCCCAAGATGCGCACAATTAGGCGTTCACCAGTTCTGAAGTAGATACCAGTGACTTTTTACAATTAAACAAATGTACAGCGCAATAGAAGAATAATACTTGCCATAGTGGTGCGACGCTCAGTCCAGCGAAGAGTTGTTCGAAATAATCTGGAAAGTACACCTGGACTAACGTTTCTTCGCCTAGATCTTTTTCGGTGAGAATTTTAAAAAATTTCGTCCACTGTAAGAACGGATATTCAGTTTGCAAGTCGGATATTGTCTTCAAGGTGTAATCCTTCAGTAAGGTAGATTCTCGCCTTTCGTTTGGTGGTGGAAGAGCCTGGAATCAGAAACACAAGAGAAGAAATAGGATAAAGTAACTTCCAGATCGACACTTACGTTCGAATGATCTAAAACGTCCCATTCTATCGTAGTGCGTAAATCTTGCATAACCTGCGTCCGATTGTACGTATTCGTCCAGTTCGAAAAAAAGCCTATGGACGCAGCAGCCGTTTGTATCGAAAATAAATACACGGTATAGTCTTTTTGGCACTCTATGAACTGGTCGTGAATCTCGTTCAGATCGACAAATTCCTGTTGTAATTGTGTTCTGAACTTATCCAAACAGCGGTTTTGTAAATCAGTCAATTTCGCGGCTTCCGTTTTGTCAAGTAAAATGGATACCTTGCCTGGAACACTCAACTAAAACAAATTTGTACATTCTACACTACTGTCCACTCCAATCGCGTACCGTCAGTATAAATTTGGAGGTTTCTTTGTCGATATCAAGCGCGACCTCCATTATTGGAAGCGATCGACGCAAGATGAGGTAAGCAAAAAGTTTAGTTATGTCTATGTGTTCGCTACCTTCGTATGTGTCCATAAAATTACCCACTTCTTTTACTAGTTCTTGCACTAAAACTCGATGAATGATGATCGAAGAAAATCAGTAACATAACGTCTTACCCACAATGGTCCGGAACTCGTAATTAAAAAGGTACTCGTGGGAGACGCAGCTGTCATAAAATGTCTTATAGGTCTGCAAGGATTGCGGAGATGTCTCATTAATATGATGCGTTTGGTCCCATATCCTTAGCCAGGTGTCCGAATCTTCATAATCGAGTTTCATACCCCCGCATGCAAACTCGTAGAAGTCCTCGCATGGATCGACCGAGTGATTCATGGAACCTAGCATGGCAGAAGCTACCGATTTGCATTTTGATGATAGACATATTGGTTCCGGTTCCTTTTCTGTAGTAGTGACTATTTGCCCCAAAGAACCCGGTGTCATCGGGGGTGTTTCTGTCGTATCAAAACCGGTTGCCTCAACTACGTTCATGCTATCGTCGATATATTCAGTTGTAACTTTGGGTGTTGTTGTACGGGCCGATGTTGCTGTTTTCGCTGCTGTAACTGTTGTTGGGGTTGTAGTGGAGCTTGTTACATTTACAACTGGTGTATCTTTTACTGTAGTTGAATTTGAGTCTGTGGTTGCGATGGTGGTCTGCGACATCGGTAACGTATTTGTTGTGGTCGGTGTAGTTACTGTTGTTGGGTTGGAGGTTGTGGTATCATTACCCGATAATCGAACGTCGATAAATGGCGTGCTTAATGTGGTATCGGGTGTAGATACTGTTCCTTGAACGGTCGAGCGTAGAGTTGACGTAATATCACCGATTTCCTTTGGTTGTGTAGTATCCCCTAATTTCCCCTCGGTTATGAAATACTCTGCAGTTGTGTGTTGCATGGCGTCTTTCGGCGTTGACTCTTTGGTGTTAACATGAGTTGTCGTTGTGCTTGGTGTCGTTATTGTGGTTGTTGTGGTCGGTGTCGTTGTAGGGTGAGTTGTAGCTGACAAATTTTTTTCATTTGTTTTATCAGTAACTGGTGGAGAGCCATGATATCTCATATACTCCGTACCCTAAAAGAATACATTGTAATTCAGAGCTAAGATTCATGATTGGTATAATAGATTTAGGAGTATCTACACATAAATTTTCCCTTCTTCCAGTTCAATGTAAAACTCGAAATCAAGAATACCTGCAAACCTCAAACCATCGTCAAATCCACTTTTGCAAATTAGTACTATTGGTCGCCAAAGTTTCTGGGTCATTAGATTTAAGGCCGATTCTCACTTTCGTGCAAAGAACCGGCACGGCACATACTCGGCACGGGCAAAGTTTTTTGAGTTCAATTCACACTGCGACACGCTTGCCGCAGGTAAGCAGTTTCTACGTGAGTTTCAACTGTAAAAATGTTCGAAACTTTCACGTTAATTAAAATTGGTCTAATATTAGATGATGAAGAACAAGAAAGTACATATTGCAGAAAAAGAAAAATACGTTTTTGTGTACATAAAATGCATAAGAAGTATCTTTTATGACCGAAATCATTTTCTTGGACACATTCAATCAGCATCTCATCTTGTTCCGCTGAAAAAGTGTTCCTTTGCTGACCCTTCAACCTTTCTTGTACTATGAAAAATGAACTAAAGTCGGTGACCTGCACAGATTGTATTCACACTTGTCGGAACGTGCACGGTACATGTCCGGCAAATATTGTTTCGGAAGAACGCTGCGTGCAAAGGCCGTAGCTGGCCGAGTCGTTGCTCGCATAGTGTGAATTATACCCCAAAAAATTCATAAGATTCAATAATATAGATATTTTGCCGAGTCGGTGCCTTGCCTGTGCCGAGTACGTGCCTTGCACGAAAGTGAGAATCGACCTTTACTAAGCTAGGGCTTTTAATATAAAATTAGTATATTCAGGCTAGGGTCAACCATTTTCCTCCAAGTGGCTCTCGTTGATCCAGTGACCCAGAGTTACAGTGACTCGTATTACGTTTTGGGTATACACCGTTGACATTTAATTTTACTGCTCTGCATTTTATAAGTTTCAAAAACAGACATAGTTCCAAACGGTTCCAAAGTTAATGGTACTTTGCGCCTTGCGTCTTAGCTATTTGAACTAATAAACAAAATAAAAAACCCTTTCTCAATGCATAAAGGCAGAAAATCGATTCTTTCTATCGCGGGCAAAGACGTAAATTTCGACACCAGAAAATGCAATTTAATTGATTGTGGGTTTCTATTGCATAGGGTTGTTTGGACCAAGTTAAGTAAAGCGACCCCTCAGATAGTCTGCCAAAACTACGGGGATTATGCCCCAAAAAAAAAGGAGCAATGACATAGATCGTTTTTGATGGTTATGCTGTTGGGAATATATCGGTGTACTTTGCTGCACTCCTCAACAAGTTTTGTCTTTTGCAAGACAACTTCGATCACATTATTTCTCACGCAAAATTTCTAATGATACCAATAAGATGAACTTCATAACCATGCTGAAGAGTGAAATGGAAACCAAGGGGATCCAAGTGAAGCAGGCAGTAGAAGACGCAGATGTAATCATTGTGGAGACCTCAGCTGCTGACAAGTATGATGGTATCATTATAACAGAGGAAAATATTGATCTTCTGGTGCTACCCACTGCCTTTGATTCTTTTTAAATGAAACGTCTATTTCCAGAAGAATGGAAAGGGTAACAGCCCTGCTGTGTTGCATTCCTCCCACTTGTTCAAATACGAAACCCTGCCTTTATGCAATAAGTGGGTGTGACACCACCTCAGCACTCTTTAAATGGTGTTGGAAAGAAAAAGGTAATGAAGACGTATAGTAAAAACCCTAGCGTTTCAGAGATGTTGTCGACCTCACGGTAACTCAATCTCAAATCGTTGACGTTAGAAAAAAATTTCTTGTGAAACTGTATGGTGGGATCATAGAACTTGATAACATCGAAGACCTGAAGTACCGCATTTTATCCACAGCCATGGTAAAGCCGATATGTCAACTTTTTAGACTGCCACTAACTATAATACCACTCATTCAGAACTTACCGGACGTGGATGGGAAACCAAGGGTGATATCAAAAGTTGCCTTCTGCATGGGGATGGAAGATAACCAAACGAGGTGGATCTTTTTATTTTTAACAGATGCCGGTAAATAAATTTGATGCTTCTATTACTTTAATTCTTGATTACTAATGCTTGGTTTTGAGGTAAAGTTAAATTTTCCCGACACGGTGTTATGACTCTTTATCAGCGTTTAGTTTTAGTTCGCTATTAACGTTGCCGCGTAGGAAAACCGAAACAGAATCAACGCAAATCTTGCGAACAGCGTCCCCTCTCAGCCAATCCGCGAGCACCTATTGCGTTATTTTGGCCTCGTCCAGACGGATACAACGAAGCGACCATCTGGCTAAAAACCCACGCGTTCTAAATGCGCCCGTTTGTCGCTAATCGTTGACCGTTTACCAGTATAATTTAGCCAAACAGCATTTTCATAAAAATTTGGGTTTGAGTTTTAATTACCCTGTTCTTTAAAGTTGGCCCTGTATCGGACTGAATGTCAATACTTTTGAACCTATTCGCCAATGATGGTGCCAATTTCTCAACCAAAGTACCCATGTTTTCAGACGCATTCTTGGTAGTAAAAATTTATCTTATGAAAAACAAAAAAATTGGTGGATTTATGTAGACCCAATACAAACGGATTAATATCTTAATAATGGTTCGTTTTTATCTGTTAATTGTTTTAATGGGAAATAACTGAAAAAAACTAAGCGAGTTATGGATAAATATTGTTGGTCCCTATTTTTTAGGGTACCTATATGTACTTCTAAGATTCTTTGGAAGTTTGACCGGTTTAAAGTGCTTAGTTTAAAAAAAAAGCATAAGTAATTGTAAATTATCAAATTGCGTTTTTTAAAAATAATTCAAAAACTATCAACGATACGCAACATCTTGTGGAGTACAAAATTAGGGCGTTGTGCGCGGGTGCACCATACTGTTGAAAATTTTTTTTGTATCTGTTCAAATAACATCAGAAAGCGAAATCGGCAAATTTGAGATTTTCTGGGATATCTTCGGAAGTAATCGGAATTTTCTAGTTTTTCTTTAAAGCATGATAATAAGTGTTTAATTGCACATATTTTCTCGAATTTGACCAACGTAGTATCTTCTATGGTTTCGGAGATCTATGGTGGACATCCTTATCGTGGACATTGTGTAGATTTTTTATGTATATGCATGCAAGTTTGGCATTTCACATCGCATAGAAATGCAATCTCTAGTAGGTAATAAATAAAAATACGGAAATTGACAGTTATTTTTGTTTACACTGAAAACAGTTGTTTACTTACATTTTAATTGTATCGTTTTTCCCTCATATCCATACTACTTTTAATCTTAACAAGATTCTTTGGAGTAAAAACAAGTTATTAAATCTTGTTTGCATAACTAAGTCGGGAAAAACGCAGACTTAATTAGTAAACTGCATGCAAAAGATAAACATTGGATTATTAAAGACATAAAAAAATTTAATTATTAATTGACAACATAGGTACAGATTATAAAAAGAATGTAAATTAATTAAAAAGAATGTTCCCAGTTTACCAAAATGTTATTGCGGGAATTCAATTAGTAAAGAAAACGCCCACTATATGAAAATCATATGGGAACATCGTATTAGTTCTAAGATTTTATAGTCGTTTACCAGTGCTATTAGAAAGATTACAAGACACGCTATATCAAATAATAATAATAAATAATAAATTCAGACAAACCCATGATGCCCGTGAAGATTGGCGGACAGGCGGGCAAATTATCTATAGGTAATGATTTTTTCCTAAATATCTACTAATTTGTGTATCAGATGACAAAAATAATTGATACGTTTGGCATTTACCTTTTCTTCTTCGCTTCTTCCTTTTTTGGTTAACAGCAGTGAAAGCAATAAAATGGCACAAATTGCGATAAAAACCAACAGCGCACATAAACATGTCCTAAACGATGTGTCTTTGGCTGCATTTGCACCGATCGCATACGAACCACTTGCCATTTTCGAAGGACAGACCTTAATGAAAATGTGCACTTCCAGCAATTTTGTTATTCCCTACCGTTATCGTCATCTCAAAGGAAACAACGGTCCAACGCAGGATATAATTGACCGCATTTTATCAAGCAATTACAAAAGGAGTTTTATATGTATGTCATTTAGTCGCACCTTTTCAATATCTATCTTCTATCAAATACGCAATCTTTAAGGAAGATCGTTACGTCCGTAAACTGCAAGTCGCACGCTGATGCTTCGTAGTTTCGTATATTGCAACTCCCTCCCACTCAGGCACCCTTTCATAAATTTTACTTGGCTAATAAAATTGGCTTATCGCGTCAATTTGCAAATTCGTATTACCACAGCAAGGGCTTACACACTTTGGGGCTCAATCTTTCTTCAAAAATCCACGACTAATAATATGGCCGACTTTCATCAAAAGGTCTTGTTGGGAACGGGGGGGGGGGGGGGGGGGGGGTGTAAGTGCCTACAGATAACAAAGAATAGATATTGACAAATTGTTAGGTACTTACCTATTAGACCAAAATGTGGTTCAGTCGTTTGTTTATACAACGGCAATGAATTACATCCGAATACCAGAGGTCTTGAGAAATGTAAGATCTGGATTTGAATAAAGATTGTATTATTTTATGGGTTAGTGAGGATTATTTACTTGGTTAAGTCCAATAATAGTATAATGGATGTAGAAATCTGAAATAGTATATTAAGATACAAGTGTATAATCAAGTCTTTAAAGCACGCGCAACGAGTTAAATGGCACGACGCGAAGACCAAGTATACACGTGTATCTTATACTATTTTTTAGTATTCTTTACTATTTTTTCTTATACTTTTTTTTAGTATACCTGCAGTATAATTTAAAAATAGGAAATACAATGAAATCATATTGACGTTATTAATACTCGAATACATGTGTAAGTGGGTTGGGTGTTGGTAATTTCACGATTGCCATGGAAATGTCACTTGACGTTTGCTTATAAAAATCATCGTCTTTGTGAATAAAACGATTTCCGTTGAAAAAGATAATACACCGTCCATTAAATCGCTTGTTGTAAAATCTAAATAAACGTTGGTAGGTGTAAAATCCAAATCCAGTAAAGCCTATTATAAAAGAACATGAAAAGTTGTTTCCATGGATGACTAGGAAGTTACTTACGAATAAAGTCTTAAATGCTGGCATATATGAAGGAAATGTTAAAGGTATTTAAATCTTTTATCTTTTGGTGCATTCATTCAAAACTTCAAACAATGCTGCGATTAAAAAGTGGAACAAATTTGGAAGCATACCCTAAATTACGCGCGTTTGTGAAAGTTTCAAGGTACAAGCCAAAGAAATGTTATGCATTTACAAAAAGCGACCTAAGAGGATTTTTTATTTCACCCAGTCTCAAAAGTCATACTTGAAGTATCATTACTTAGCAACTTTAAGGGCCGGTTCTGCAATTACAGCTATTCGCATAATAAGATATTCTTGGAATAAGTGCCCTAGCAACAACTATCCCATTGGTTGACCCAATGGTAACCAACGCAAACTGACAAAGTTTATTCTAGGTATAGCTTATTCTCGGTATATACCTGCATTGTAGAATCGGCCCTAAAGCACGTTTGTTTTAAAGGCCTTTTTTCGCACGCATTTGAGTGTTTAAAAAGGAGATTGTGATTCAGGTATAATAAAATAGCTATTTATACAATAAGTTGCGAAATGAGTGTCTTTTAGGCACGCGACGTGAAAATTGGCCAACGAGGCAAAGCCGAGTTGGACAACACATCTGGTGACTAAAAGACATCGTTTCGTAACGAATTATATACCTACAAGATTTTTTGTGAATGCGGAGAATTTAATAATTGTATTAGTATTTTTAAACATTTTGAAAAGTAGGCAGGCAATCTGTTTCTAAGACATTGTTTATAAATTATTTAATGTCAAGTGTGACGTTAAGGTTGAACGTAAGCGTGTTGCCGTCTTTCCCGCAAAGTTTTGCGAAAAAATTACTTCAAATGAGTGATATTGACGAGCCGTTGAAGCTACGCTATCCACGTTAGTACCAGAAAAATCGAAACATTTATACGAAAAGACCTACGACAA